CGTACGCGTGAAGTTCTGTGCAGACTTATCAAAATAAAAAAAATATTTAATCCTACCTAAACGGACCATACCTACACACGCGGTCGTCGGTCGCCCGTGCTCTGTTTCCACCCGCCGCACCGGACCCGGACTCCGGTAAATGCGCGTGCCATTTGAATAATTTAGCGCCCTTTCCGTTTGTTCGGACTCGTTAAAGCTCACCGCCCCAAGGAAACACGGAATTCAGCCCGCAGACTCGATGATGACCCTGCCCCCGTTATAAATACGAGTGCCGTGTAATACGCGTGTGCGCGCGAGCGTTGGCCATGTCCGTGTTCGTATGTGAAACAGCTAGGATACGGCCTCCGCCACCCGCATCACCGTCGGGGGTATTACACCACCGAGTCCTTTTGCAATAATATTATTATCGTCCCGCGCGCCCGCAGAGCCCAGGACGAAACAAAAATCGAGGCGAAACCACTCCACCGGTATTATTCCGTTTTAATACCCGTAAACTCGTAATGCACAACAACCGTATGCTACTCGTATATACATAATGACGTGCACTACGTGTATGTACTGGCCGTGCGACCGTGTACTGGCCGCGCTCGTATTTATATAGATTTATTCTATAATAATTGAGTCGTTCGTAAAACCGAATCGCTCTGCGCACTTGTTGAATTTGTGTTTCTTGACACGGTTGCTGACAAGACGAGGGAGGCGAAATAAATCATTTTCAATTTTAGTCAATATATGTGTGTGTGCGCACGCGTAATCTAAAATAGTTAATAATTCAGTGTCTAGTTATTCAGAGCATTTCAGCCGGCGCATTTGAAAAACATCATATACAATGTAGATTAATGTTGTTTGATCAAACTATTTCACAATCGCGAGATTCGATATAATTACATTATGTGAACAAAATTTATTGAGCGTTTCGCATCAAGTTAATGGAATATAATCAGTAACCAACAGAACGATATTACACTGATGAATTTACACGTGTAGAATTTCAATCGAAGTAATTATAAAACTGATGATGGCACTATATACTTATCGTTTTGTGTACATTGTGTGTTTTTCGGATAAAGTATTGTTGGTAGGCAGAGAGCGAAGAGGAGTTTCAGGAAAAAGGGTGTATACGGTAAATTCGATGTATGAAAGCTAATCGAACGCGTCCCTCGTGTACTGGTATCGTGCATTATTCGCTACTTGTTCACTGCATCGTAAATGTTTTCGTGTTCATCGAGTTGGAAAAACATCGTCCAAAAAAAAAAAAAAAAAAACGAAAACGAAATATTCTCTAATATACACCACAATGACTTCCATATATTGTAGTATTGTTTTTTTTTTTTTTTGTAAAATTACGTATTAAACAGTTAGGTTAGTTACTTTTTCGTAAACATGCTAAGCCATTGCAACCACTTTTAAGTACAATTCAATATATAATGTGTATTTATAAGTATTTTGGTCGAATTTTCGTATTTTTTCCATAAATACAGTTACATTTACTAATGACAATAAAATCATTACACTTTCATAAGTATTCCTCCTATATGCAAAATCGTCAAAATTTGAAGTATTTAATCAACCATAGAATAAATATGTCGATTAAAAATAATTTTTAATTTGCAATCATTTCAATATAGATACTGTACGCAAAAATATTTTTGTAAAAATTCTATAAACATTTATTTTTATAATAATTTGATTTGAATAAGTATGAAAATTTAGAAAACAGATATTATTGAGTAATGTATTTTCGTCTCCTTTTGAAATAAAATCCTCCAAATTCCAATCAGTCTACTTGATTTTATAAAATTCAACCATAAAAATAAATGTAGACAAAAGTCGAATCAAAAAGCTAAATCAAAATCACAAATTAGTCACTAGTTACTCTTAAATATATAATTAGTAGTGATTTGCTTTTTAAAACTAAATATTACAATAATGTAATGCAGTGGTATATAATACTTAGTACTAAATATACATATTGTAAATGAAAAAATCAAAATGGATTATATATGAAAATAATTTTAAAAAAATCATTAAAATATTTATCACTTTGAATTATTATGGACTACTATAATTTACAACATAATAATTAATACTTTAACAAAATTCAAATACAATATTTGAGTAAAGATGTCTAGATATGAATATTTAAAATGGAACATTTATTTGTAATAAATAAATTATTCATAATTTCATAAAAAAATGAATTCCTATTGTAAAACTCTAAAATATGTCGATTTATTCTCTCCATAAGCCGTCATACTCTAATATGTCAATAAAGATTCAGTTTTATAATCATGAAAAATACAAATGTCAACTACTTTTATCATCAATATTGTAATATATACAATCAAACGTTTATTTGGTTTGACATTAAATCAGGTATAGAGTATATATATATATTTAGTCCCTCAGCCATTTTGACACCTAATATCATTTTTTTCTTTTTCTGTTATTGTTATTTCTGAGCACTCTCCCGCTGCTATATAAAAAGCCTGCTGAACTGCATTAATATCGAAATTCGCACGTATAATATTATATATAAAACTTAATTCTCCATTTTGATAAATGCTCATAAAAGACGGAAGTTGCGCGTCGCTTCTATTCAATATCAAACAAACCCACTGATGAAAATAACCGGCCGTTTTCAACAGGAATACACTTGTCGTCATTTATTTTCAGTTCATCGACAATGCAAAAAATAAAATGAATACCCGACGATCTAAAATATTATAAATGAATGACAAAACTTTTCATCATATTACATCTCTCGTATCACGCTGAAGGTTGGATAAATCATTTGAATATTACCGTATGTGGGTATTAATGGAACTGCAGCCATAATAATTTATTTTCAGGTCAGTTTAACGATATACTAGTTGTTTCGTATATAGCAAATGCATTTAATAAAACGGATGATAAATGCACAATTCTTTTTATAGACATTTATACAGTCCGTGCATTTTTAAACTTCAGAAAGTTCAATAAAAATTAGACCTTGTTAACAAGTTTAAACACTTAAGTACCTACCTACCTTCATTCACAACAATACATTTTTCATAAAAATAGTAACATTTTGTAAAATAATAATTTCTTGTATTACAATTAAAAGTTGAATCAATGTCATAGTTTTAATTACAAAATAAGAAAGAAAAAAATTACTTTTGTATTTTGTTCTGTAGAAAACAATTATTTTATCAGATGCATCTAACTACAATAACGCGTTTAACTTAATATTATGTTACAAAATATATAAACAATTTTTTCAAATCTAACTAACTTAACTTTTACACAATTCTCATGAGAGAATGATATTGTTCGTGTCACATTCGAGAAAATTAATTCAATAAGCAATATATTGCGATATTCAATGTATAGCAAAGACAAAAAATGCAATAAACAATAATTGTTTAACAATTATCGTTAAAGATTAATTTGTTTCCCCTGGTCCTGACCCCATAATCCCAGTATGATTATTATTATTTAATATTGGTAATCGTGTATAAATACATATTTACAATGAACATTAAAGTATTAATCATTTTCATCAAACACTTTAACCGTACGGTTATTGATAAATGTCTGTGTGTTCTATATTTACACTCTTTCCAATTTATGTAAGCTATTATTTGTAATACATTAAAAGATAATTGTTGAATAAAAAATGTTCTTTATTCTAACCTATTATATTCGAAAAACAAAAGAATAACAATTTATCAGATATATTTAAAATAAACAAAAACACATATTAATAACACGTACACTCTATGAAAGAATTGCTTTTTTGTAAATGTTATTGATAATAAGTTTGAATTAATGACGCATAATCATATATAAACTTTAAATTTCCCATATGATTCAATATTATGTTAATATTTACATTATTTATAAACAATAAGACCACAATAACATTTAAACTATATACTATTAATAAAATAAAAAAATTGTAATGTGTTTAATGATAATAGAACAATGATACATAAAATACATATAAGTTGAAGCTAAAAATATAGTCAAACTAAATAATAATAAATAAACTCAATAATGGTAAAAAGAACTAAGACAATAAAAATAACAACATTCAGCCAGTAAAAACAAGTTAATACGAAAAGAAAATATTAATTTTGGTTAATATTTAACTTTTTTCATATTACATTTTCGTCAATATCTAAAAACTAATTTTATTAAATATCCTGAATACATTCATAAAATTTAGTTCAATCTACAAGCCATTAGTGAAAATTAATAAATATTAACCAAACATGGGCTCATTGAATAAACTTTATTCTCTTTCTAAAACTATTAAGTATTTTAACGTAGAAAAATATTTTTCTTTAAACGTTAAATCTTCAAGGTAATAAAGTATCTTCTCGAGTTGAACATCTTTTAAAAATGACATCATAAAAGCTTATATTAAATGTTAAGATATTCAAGTCTTCTGTTTCTCACGTCATTCAAAATTTAAGAATATTAATATACATAAATATGCTGGGCCAGCTGGTGTATCTTTGAGTTTGAAAATATTTTTGGGATACATTTTAATTAAGTTAGGTATAAATTTAAAAATCTAAAGTTGGTGCTAAAAAAAAAAAAAATACTCGAAAAGTTTAAAATTCAAAATTCAGCGTAAAAAAAAATGATTATTATAGTGCAGATTTGTTACATTTTTATAACTGTTATATTACTAAATAAATAGCAATCGGGAAATATCAACTTTCGAGAATACTTGATCGTGAACATAAATGCATACAAGTAACAAACTTATTATTAAATTAAATTATCAAAACTGGTGTAATAAGGCAATATTGTATCTAAAATAAACTTTTGCTTATACTATTAATATATTGGCTTAACAAACCTCTGGGAATTACATTTCTTTCATAGCTTTATACCTAACGTTATACTCCAACACAAAGGGCTAGTCCAATAAAGGAAAACAAAACTAATAATAAAAAGTTTGTAGACATGCAAATACTATTTCATACTTAAATAAACAAGCATTTTACTTTATATGTGGCATAGAAGTTTACAATGACGTTAAGAACAAACTGCGTGTAGGTTAAGCATTATTAAATATTGCTTATCAATACAGCATCTGTGGAAAAACATTTGTTTCGAATAAGTATTTTGAACAGTATGGACAAGCAAGTTTTGCTCTAGTTAACTGTTTATTTTAATATGTCGATAAAACTATAAAATGTATTAATTAAAATTGTTAAATTCTATATTAAACAACCTATTATGTATCAGTATACGTAAATGTTCGCCTAAGTACTATGTTGTATTTTATTTATACATTTAATAATAACAATTATCGATGTATAATACACAGTAGCGGCAAAGTTCTAACAATGTAGCCAGGCAAAAACTATTTAAAAAGGTCACAATATTTAAATATGACATACCGGAGGAGGGGGATTAGTGATTTTTACTTTAAAAAAAATATTAATGTTAGGCTTTAAATGTGTAATGAAGATTCCATATGGTTCGGCAGCCAAAATTTGACTCCATATCCTAAATTTTCAAAAGATATCGGGCCAAAGGTGGAACCTCAACTTTGGGTACGGCACCACTGATGTTATATTATTACACAACGATGCGATATTGTATACTTATCACAATTATCTGGATTCAGGTGAATACCAATAATGCTATTTTTGACAAAACGTACACCTTGGGACCAATGATAGTAAAGTAACTTGTAGATAATGAAATGTGATTAATAATGATTTTTTGAAACGAAAAGCTGTTTATAGCTGCTTGCCGAATGTCCACATTGTTATGGTATAACAATTAAATATGGGACAGAGAATATTATAATATATTCTCTGTTGACGGAAGGAAACTGGTAGACACTGACAGTGTCAGATTTATTACAGAATGCGTTATTATTAATTAATACGCGACCGTAATTAATGGTCAACATCTACGTATAATTTGCGGGTAGGGTGGATATTTCTTAAATGTCATTTATACTAAAAGATGAATAAAGGGAGAAAGGAGTAAAAGCCTACCTATACATACAGCGACCCCCTCCTTCGTCCGACATTTTCTACCCGGTCCAACACTCTTTATCCGCTACTACCCCTCTTTATCATTACACGGTTTGAGTGGTTTAAACTTCGTGCTGACGTTATCGTTTTCAACCGATTAATCAAAACGAGGGTTTGCAACGCGTATATATATACGCGTGCCCGCGCACTTGCGCGTATTCCGCAGGCAAATTTTACGATGGTTTTGTTTATCACTCGTTTCTTTCCAAACACTACCCAAATTACCTTACGTGCATTTTATGCTTATTACATTTTATTATTATCATACACAACTCCACTATCTCACTCACCATTCCCTGTCGATTTCAATCCTTTGAGCTGTGTTCGATTTTTAAAAGTTTGAATCTTGCAAAAGTTCATGTGCGCAAAATAAACATTTAGTGAGGACCATAAATAGTTTGATTCAATAGCGGTCATTTGTTTACATAATACACAGACAGTACAAGTTTTTGGACAAATTGCGTTTGGTACTGATTTCCGTCCCGAAAATGTCTGTAGTTTATATAGAGTAATCCAATTTGACATGATTGTCTGAACTATATACCACGATTCCGAGTACACTTTCGACATTTTCTGTAATACTACAAAACCCATGTATACATGTATATATAACTTATAGGTACATGGTTTTTTTAACACAAAGAGTTTTTATCGACTTAAAATCTAAAGGGAAATACAAGTCACAAACAAATAAATATCAAGAAAGATTTGTGCACGTTAACAAGACGAGAGATTGACTCTTTCAACTCCATATTGATAACTATTTATTACTATTACCAATTAAATTCTTTATCGTTGAATAGATATATTTTTTCTCATTGAAATATTAATTAGTTATGCACTTAGTTCATCAGAGTTTACCCGTTTTTTATCTTAGAATGAGCAAATTTTGTATCTTAATTAGAACAATATTGAATTTCAAACTTCCGTTTTTTAATTAAAATCGTATAATACAACTTCAAAATAAATATTTTTTTATTACTTGAAATGTCTATACAACATTTCTGTTTAAGTCATATCAATTATTTCAATCTACACGTATTATAAAACTTCATAATAAAAATTTAACTATAAAAATAACACAAAATTTATCGGTAAACCAATATTATGTAATCAATAATAAATGTAAATGTATGTTCTCTACTACTAAACTATTGAAGTATACGTATAATTTTACAATATAATGGTATTTTTGAATTTCTATGCTGATTTTTTTGTACATCAAAAGACTCAGCAAATCAAATAAATAAAAATGATAAAAATTAAGAAAAATATATAGTAATAGTTTATAGTTCAAAATAAATATTTAATATAATAATATTCATTAACACGTAAAACTGTTGGCAAATTTGTTTGTATAAAATATTGTAACAATTCAAAATGCAAATAAGATAAAATTGATCTTATTTATATTTTTACATTTTAGTAATGTACTTAATATATTACTAGAATGTCTAAAAATGTTTGATTCTGAACGAGATTTATAATGTAAATTGAAAATTATGCAATAAATTATACAACTATATGCAAGTAAAATATTGTAATATTTTCATATCTTATTTGTTATTATTATTACGGTCTAGATGAATGTTAGGAAAACAGTATTTACTGAAATACAACAAATATTAATCAAATTTGTTGAAAAATATTCAATCTCAAACATTTAGTTGGTCAGTATTATAATTTATCATAAAACAACATCGACCTTAGCTCGTTAATATAGGAAAGTCATTTTGAAACGATTGAGCCCTTACTTCTAAGAAACTACATGGAAAAATACGAAATTACATTCATTGTTTAATTAAAAAAAATAAAACAACAATATACTTACTACCATTATACATATCTCCACGACAAAAAATATACCAATTTCAAATGTAATTAAAGTACGAGATTTTGTTGTTGCTCTAGAAAAGGTATATTCTAACTACTCCGAATGATTAATAAACGAACTCTTGAGTATACCACGTCAAATATAAGGTTTTATAAAATCACAATTTGAACGTAGCAAAACAACTTAAATTTAAATTATTTATACAATATAATGGGAATGAGCTTAAACGATTACAATACCAGTACGGACAACCTTTTTTCCTATCTATGGCTGTATTATGTTTATGACGACAAAGTTCTGGATACAATCCAACCTTCTGGTCATTTCTGTTTATTTCAGTCATGAATATTAATATATTACTCAGGTACCGTAAACGTACCACGAAACCAAAAACCAAACATTTTGTTCTTAAGCTGAGGTCACGCGGTCGCTAGTGTTATTATTTTTCATTTCAAACTTATATATATATACATATATATAATAAAAAGACTACTATTCCTTTATTCAAAGTAAACGCTGCAATGTTTAAAAATTGTAATAATCCATTATATTATTTGTATACAACCTCTTACGGTAGCCGATCGTCGCATTCAAAAGATCTATACACAAGTGTGATTAATTAACCTTGAATTTAAAAAGATTTACGTATTCGTATCCGTACACATTCAACAGTATGACGTTTTTCAAATAGTATTTTTGGACCTGTTAGTTGCGCAACTGGTCACCATAAATAGAATCCTAAATAACCAGTTTTTATCAATTTACCGTTAGTAACAGTTGATCGTCTTACAATAATTCAAATTAAATTAAACGTATATTCATATTTTCGGTGTTCCAATAGGTATAACATTGCGTTAATAATGAAAACAAAATGCAAAACAAAATTTTGTACCTCAATTGCGTAAAATATATACTTTAAGTCCATTAAAAAGTTTTTTGATGGACAAAAAACAGAACTTGTACAGGTTCTCGTTAAAATTGAATCGTGAAAAAAACTTCATAATGTTCGTACACACGTTACATTTAAATTTTAAACAATAGAGCAATGTGACCTTAGTTGATGATAATTCGAAAACCAAGTACCATAAAAATTATGATTATATTATTATATAATATCAATTTTTTTTGAAAACCTTGGAAGTCTTTATTATATTTTTATTCTCCCTCGTAAATGATAACCATAAGATATAGTGTTTTTTACGCAAAAAAATATCGGACAAAACGTAAGTCAATGACCTAACAATTTAACAATAATAATTTCTGCAAGCAATATAATTTTTAAATTATTGTCGATCATGGAAAACATCGCATATAGAAAATATTTAGATATTCATCTTTGCAAATCAAGGTGGTGGCGACGACGGCGGCGCTTAATCTGGCTTCATTGGCACAGGAAGTTAATACCAACCGGTTTAGCAGTATATTATTATGATGACCCTATAGTCGTGTGGTATATATAGTAGTATTGTATAATTGTGGCCTTGTTCAGCATCCAATAACCGGTTCGTAACGGTTCATCTGCGCAGATTATTGAAGTGTCGTAATGTTGTTACACGGACATGTTAACTTGTCATAAATAAACATTTTGCAGGTACAAACAGCTGAAAACCACTATGTTAGGCCTAGAGATCTTATGTTGTTTGGTGAGGAAGGGAGAGTGATTATAGTGATTTATTTTATTTTACATGGTGTATTTAATTAGTAATTGATAGCAATACAACATTAAAAGTATTTATTTTACTAATATTACTAATCTAGACAATAAACCGAAGGCGTTTCGTGATTTACCACACCTTACAACAAAATACCGAAGTTAAGCGATTTATTTTAAATACTCAATGATATATCTCGTGGAGCTATTCTATTGTTCATTTGATTCGGATATACTCGTATTTTCTTATGAATAATTAATTAAAATTACCGTAGACGTAAGTATTATTATTATAATAAGATAAATAGTACAAAACATGTAATTAACTAAAAAAATATTGTATATTGGTCTTAATTCTAAATACACAAGTATAGTGATACAATTTCATTGTAGAGCCTTTCATCGGATATCTTCTTATAAGTAAAAAATTAAGAGCTTAAAAACCAATGAACATTAGAAACACCATCATTCACACGTAAGTTGCGATGGTACAACTTTTAATATATTCAAGATTCATCTGTTTAAAATACAAGAAAAATTAAATAATCAATTTACTA